GGCCTAAGTGTCTCGCCTAGTCGCTTCTTGCCTCGTTCAAGTCACTGCTCAACAAACTGGTCATACAATGTGACCCGCTTGATCTTGCTCTTGGTGAGCTCTCGACTTGGATCCACCATCCGTGGGAGTACTTCTAGTGACATCGATAGTATGAATGGGTTCTTCACAAGCTCTTGTAGGCTAGGGACCATCTTGAGTGCATCCTTATAGTCCTCCACACCCCACAGCAGATCCATAGATTCTACATATTGTTCGATATAGTCTTCAATCTGTGCCTCTGAGAATGGCACAATCACTGCCTCTTGGAACAATCCACTATCTGCTTGGTGATTACGGTCCATAGGTTGAAATCGATCTCGATAGTCCGATCCAAGGTACTCACTGCGACAGCTGATCACCATCTGACATTCCCACTCTCCAGCCTTATTCAGTTGGTTGGATGCATACAGGTTGTTGGTCTGCATGCTCTCATCATATCCATCACAGATCAACACAAATGACCGATTATTCTTCAGCTCCTTGATCTCCGAGTCTGTGAAACCGTAGTCTTGCAGTTGCTTTGCAACCATACCCTTCTCTGGCTTGTCGATGGCTGGAAGGTTGATGAACAGTGGAATCCGACCATGTCTCTCTTGATATGTCTCCCAAAGCATACGCTCTAGAGTGCTGTTGAATGTGGATTTGCCTGCTCCTGAATCTCCTTGCACAAGCATCACTTTCTGCTTGCTGTCTAGGAACTCTTTCACTTTGTCCATCAACAAGAACCGCTCGTCATCGCTCGCTTGAGGACTTGCTTTGGCATACTGCCGGACATAGAACCCTTGACTATTTCCAATATCTATCCGTTGCCTCTTTAGTTTCCGTAGACTATCCTCAACACCTGTCTTCTTCTGTACACGATCAAGTAAGTGTGAGGATTTAGGTCGAGAGAGTGCAGCAACAGAGGCAGAGGAGAACTGGATCAATGGCTCTTGAAGAGAGGTCCTGTATAGCTCCTGTTTTTGGTCACCTCCATCCGCCTTGAGATCATTCAAAAGAGTGTTTGCAGCTAAAATAAATGTGAACAGAAAGAAGGAGCGAAAACATGTATAGAGTACGTGGGTTAGTATATAGTCTTTAGCCTCATTGTCACCAAACATTATCCATACAAGAATGGAACACATGCCTTGGAAACCATCTGGTGGTAACGAGGATAGTTGTCTAAGGATATTTATGATCCATTGCTTAATGCGTATATGCTGTCCCCACTCCTTGTCATTCCTGTATATCTCTCCTAGGAATGTGACGGCATCTTGCCGAATATCCATGCTCCACTTTGTATCTGCTGCAACCTGTCCCAACATCTGACAGAGTCCCCATTGGAATGCTACTTCATTTCGACAGGAGACTTCACACACAAGAGTCTTGAACTTGGTCAGCTCGCCTCTCTGCAGTAGTCCATCAGCTACTCGAAGTGCTGGATACCATCCTGACTTGCGACTGAAGCTGAGTCCTTCTTCCATACACTCTCTGAATGCCACTCCACTCTCATAGAGTGATGTTGTTCCCTTGTACACCTCTAGACTCTTGTCCATGATATCTGTCACTGATGGAAGTCCTTTCTGAATATTGCTTATCTCGTCCCTGAAGACATTCACATTCATGTCCTTGACTGCACTCACTACTCCAAACACTCCTCGAAGTACTGCTGATGTCCGTCGGAGCATGGCTTGTATTGTCGTTTCGTCGTCTGGAATGTACAATAGTGCTTGGAAAGCATAAGCTGCTTGATAGATTAGATGAGGGTCTGTACTCTCTTTTAGTCCTTTGAGGTATGCAGCAAGTGGCTCATGCAGCTGTTCCCGCTTCAGACCCTTGACTTGGTTGTTGACCATCGCATCGAGAACATGTGAGACTGTAGCTGAAAGGTGATAGAGATGGTCTCCAGATTGAACATGTGCGCTTTGCAGCCGAGAATTGAGAATATTGAGGATCTTGACAAGATCATCCGAGTCGAGGTATCCAAGAGGAGCATGATGCATCAACTGAGCCAATCCTTCCAGCATATGAGTCTCCAGTATGATGTTATGGCTGATGTCATTGATCAAAGCCGCAAGTAGTACTCTGAACTGTGTTTGGTCAAGAACTGGAGCCAGGGTTACAACCTCAGCGATGGTAGTTTCTGCCTTAATCCCATCGCTGATGAACAATTCAATCACATCCGATGCCAATTTACGCAATCGATCATGCTCATCTTGGTTGTTTGATATGGTCTGCCGCCACTCTTTCTCGTGGTCATCAAGATCATTTGTTTGGATAGGAGCAGTAGGAAACAGACTGAGACAATATGTAAGCTGGCAGATATCATCCAGACTTGCATCGACATCTGGTAAGGTGTACCTGATGACTGTTAGAGGTTCATTGTGGTTGAATATGTCCTTTGAGATAGTTGCAATGGTCTGTACTGGTGTGAATTGCCCTGTTTCCATCATATTGCTCAATTTGCTACTACTGCATCCGTTGACTTGTTGGTTAGCAGTGACATTGCTGTTATTGCTGCTGTTGTTGTTGTTGTTGTTGCTTCCTTGGATATATCCCCATTTCTCTGCTTTCTTGTCTCGTCTTTGTGCATCAGCTAAGTGACCCAATTGCTCGAATAAGCGAGCAAGTTCATGGTAGGCTGAGCCAATACTTTGGTGCAATCCCTTGTCTTCATTGTGACCTGAAGAGATCGAAGAGGCTGCAGTCATTGAAGCGAAGGACCTCTTCCAAGGCTTCTGAATACGAGACAGTACAGAGTCAGCATCGAGGCATAGCTCTGTCACTAGGATGCTATCGTCTTCTATAGTGCGAGTGCCCTGCATGTACAAGTCAAAGAGTCTCAGAGCCTGTGCTGGCGAGAGTGTGCTTCGTGATGGAGAATTGATGCTGCGAAACATGATTTATAGCTCTCCTTTACGTTCGTAGACTGTATCCCTATCCACACCACTGAGAGAAGAATGGTTGTCAAAAGACTGTTTGTTAATGGTGAGTGAAAGAATGTTTTCTTGCTCTAGTCATGTTTGCCTGATTCTTACATGCACGTATGTTGCAAAAGATTCGAGATTTGAACTATTAAAAAAGAAATGCAAGGGAGATTTTCTTATGTGCTGAAAGATGAAAGATGAATGATGAAAGATGAAGGGATGATGAAATATTAGAAGCATGCGTCTCCCTGTCCTTGTGAAGCTAAAATTATCGCATTTTTCTCTTTTTTACGATGCGCGTCAACTAAAGATCAATTAGTTTTGTCATTTCTGCTCGAGTGGTCATTTTTTTCAGATGTGTTTAGAATTGTCTTTTTGGCACTAGAATGAAAGATGGATGAAAGATGGAAGTGAATGATGGATCCGCGAGATGATGCTTGTATGTCTTGCCTGTGTAGGAATGTTTTCATGTAATGGAAGCTGAATAGTTTTCATCTGTGACAAGTAGAGAAGAGCACATCATCTCTTTACATGAAGCAATAGATGGTTGGTTCGCGTCACCAACCTGAACATGTTTTAGCTTTTGCAAGACAGCCAAAAGAAAAAAAAATAAGAAAAGCAAGTTTGATCAACGACGCTTGCTTGTGCCATGGCTCTGCAATAAACAAACAACAATTACACAATTACAAGAAAGAATATGTATTTGTATTGAGATGTGCAGCTTATTGAATAAAGGTATAGCAAACCGATGTCGGATCATCATTTCAAGGTGACATGGTTTATAGCTTAAATAAATAAGGTATTTCAGTTTGCTAAGAGGTAGAGAAGTAAGATGTAAGCACGAGCCACAGTTGGTAATGTTAGTCAAAACGTGCCATGTTGGTCGTGCAGTAGCATAGCATGGCTGTGGTATGAAGAATGAGGTGTAACAGACAGGTCGACAAACTGAATGCGAATGAACGCGTAAAAATATAATAAGAGGAAGAGTCGATCTTTTTCCTCATATCGATTTATCAGCCGATCATCTCCAATGTCAAACAGATACTCTACACTGCTTCGCTGTTGTTTGTTACTTGTCATTTGTGTTTGCTGCTTTGCAACTGTTGCTACTTCTGCTACTTTGCTGAAAAGCGTGTCTAATCGAATAGCAATTTTTATTAAATATCCTTGCTCCATCTATTTTATAGGCTCTTCTCTTCCCTCTTTCCTTCCTTCCCACCCCACATCCTCCATCTTTTTTTTTTTTTTTCCTTCGCTATCTTGCGCATGTACCGATGATGGTACATGGGATAGGTTCAGACAAAATCCTTTTTTCAGCAATTGATGGCATAGTTGGCGTTGATTTCTGAACTGGTTGCGTCTATTATTTATTCCCAAACTATCAGTGTTGTTTATTGGCGTACTCTCCCAATCTCTATTTTGCTTTGATACGCGTGCAATAAAAGGGGAGCTTGGGAAATAGAATGAAAAGCATTACAGGGTTGAGATATTAGATAAAGGTTTTCTTTTTTCCTTGTCATGCAATCTTTATATATATATATATATTTCCTATTGTGTGTACAATGAATGCTCTTTGTAGATTGGTTGAGAAGGACAAAGGGCGGGAAGTCAAAGAGGCTGACTCTCTTTCTTTTCTCCTTTTCTCCTTTTGAACTGCCTCCATTTTGTAGATGATGATGGCAGTGTGCTTCACATTTACTCAAACCAAAAAAAAATGTTGGTTACTCTTTAGCCGACCACACACATGCAGATATACACATACACTCCAAATATCTAAACACTCGCACGCTTCCTCTCCTTCAATCGCACGCAACGGTAATAAGACATTGATTACTTCAATTTCTTTTTTCACGACTGAGCTTGGCAAAGCTGTTCATGTGCATTGGTCTCTCTTCTAACTAAACATCAACCAACATTGCGCCTTTTCTTTCCTGAAATAGCTCGTTATTTCCTTCATAATTCTGACTTTCAATTGATGGTCCAGTTTAGATATGATTTTGATAGGGAGAAAGAGAGAGAGAAGTGTGTATGCAATAGAGGATAGTGTTGGTGATGATGGCCCCCATACGTGTACATGGTTTGTTTTGGTTTGAGTGCAATACACTTTCAGTAGCAGAGTGTTTATTCTCCAATTCCTCAATAAGCTGTAGTCGCTTTACGCTCGTATTAGTTGCAAAGCGGCCCAATCCTCCATGTATCCATCAATCCGTTATTATTCTGTCTAGACAATCCGACAGTTGTTTCTCTCGTTTCCTTCTTTTTTCTTTCCTTCAGCCCTCTCTGCCTGTAACTGCCATGGCAGAGATGGTGGGAGGAAACCTTCGAGATGCTGTTCAAGATGATCATGTTTTGGGCTTGTTCAGGCTGAGTGCGTGTAGGACCATTGCATTTCGATTCGTCGTGGATCCTCAGCCAGAAGCAAGGCTTCCTATGCCTGTCATAGTTAGTATGCTGCTAATAACGACTTCTCTACTTTCAGCTGACAGGGAAGAACGGGGAGCACTCTTAGATGAAAGATAGTTGTCAACACAGAGAATCCAAAAGCTTTTACTTGTAAACGCATCTTTAGTGCGATCTTTTCTTTATAAATTTCTCTTCCAGTCCCATCCAAAGGGATAGCCTAGCGTATATTATGTTTACATGGTTGCTGACCACGAGGTATACATAGTCAGTTCGTTT